AATCAACCAGTAACTCAGTACATCAAGGTCTGATTGTTCCCACATGGCACCACAGGACTCAGTGGTGCTGAACACAGGACATGTTAACAGGACAGCATAAAATGTCACTGCTATAAGTAGCTCCAGAAACCTTTCTGGTGCTTTGATAACATTCTGTTATATGATGTCCCAACCCAAGAGTTCATTTTTAATAGAACACAACATGGCAGGTCTGGTTAACCACATCTTTGTGTCCGGTGGGGTCATTTACACTAATGCAAAAAGAGGGCAAACCAGATTTAAAGCACTGCCATTCTAATAGGTTAGCATTGAAGCCCATGATGAAAATAATGACACAAACTATAAGGCAGTGGCAGGCCTGATGCATCCACTTCCTATGATTACTGGACCTGATTCTCTTTTTGCTTCCACCAGCGATGAAAGAGGAGAAAATCCATTGATGTCAGTGGATTTGCACTGGGATAAAATGAGATTTAAAAAGAATTAGTCACTATGTGTGTAGTGTAATATACTAACAACATCAGTCATATACCCATTTGTTTACACACTTCTTGTGTCACGGCACTTCTAACATTTTAAATGGGGATTATTGAAAAATAAACTCCTACTAATTCCTAATTGTGTCTGTGATACTTCTGAAAATAAACATCAATATTTACTGAGAAACTAAAGGATTTTGAGTTGTTTGAGATGTTTAATTGAGGGGTGTAGAATCACTTTTCTTATTGGCTTGGGTGCCTTCATATACACCCCGAGAGTCAATACAAGAGGAGTGGGAAGATCAATAGATTTAGCAAAGGCATTTGTTTTTGAAAAATATTTGTGTTTCAATCTATGGCCTCCTTAGGAGGACATGTTTTATTTGTTGTCTTAAAAATGTAAAATGTATTTTACATTTTATAAAAATATAACTGCTGATTGTCAATATATTCAGCTAGGGCTCTAGAAATTGGGATGGAATATAGGAAATATGATTGGGGTTAAGAAGGGCACACAGGGGGGGATGTCACTTAGCACAGACACATGTCAAGTAGTGTACTCATTCCAATAAAAGAGGACTGTATTGTTTTCATCTGGATGGATTCTCAGCCAAATTCTGACCTCAGTTCCGTGGCGAATGAATCCAGAGTACTCCTCCGAAGCCAAGGAGGCTATTTTATATTTTCTACATAACTGAGATTAGAATCCAGCCATATCATTTTAAGACTGTTTAAAATGTGGTTAGGATTCATGAGGCACCATCGGGGAGTTCTCTGAACTCAGCTGTTTCAAAGCTGTTTCATATTTGCTCTCCCAACCTGCCTTTTAAAGTTTTCTCTACAGGTGGTTTGGAGAGCTGCATGAAGCTAGTGTCATGAACAGTGCAAGTAGAGTCCATGTCTTACCAGTACAGGGGGGACACCAACTAATGAGGGCATGTGAACTCCCCCCATAATCCTACAGGTGACTCCTCCCTGCCCTGCCGCCAGCTCAGGGCCTTTACCCCATGTTAATTGGGGATGGCAGGGGAGGCTCTGCCCTCCTCCTACTATGTCGGAGACTTCAGAACCACAGCAGCAAAAGAAGCAGCACATGGAGTCCACCTAGTCACTCCAGGCTGGCAGCTCCTCTAGCACGGCCCTCATACCTTAACCCTTACATGCAGCTGCATCTCCCTGGGGTCTGTACAGCAGGCCTGCCAGAGAACAGGGCTGGAGGGGCAGGGCTGGGGGTGGCACCACTGTACTAGAGAAGCTGCCAGTGATCTGCTTCTGCAGAACATGAGGCCATTGGATGGTCCCATGCCGGTAGCTCCTTTAGTGCAGCTGTATCACCCCCAGTCCTGTTCTCTCTCTCGGCTGCTATGCACACAGAGGAGACCGGATGTGAAAGGGTTGGGGGCAGTCTAGCTGCACCAAAGGAGCTCCAGGCATGGGGCCACCTGGAAACCCCCCATTCTGTTGTTCCTATGTCTTTCTGGTACTTTGCACTGGCTGTAAATCTCTTGCTGGTATGGCGCGTCAGACCAGACTGTCCTACTTGCACTGCTGCCATGAACTTTAGATAGGATATTTTTGCTGTAATTTCTCACGTGAAAAACCTTTGTTCTAAATGTCAATCCTACAAGGTTGGAGTGGTCAGGTATTGTATAAAAAAAGGTCAAGATCAGAGAAGGCTACTGTACGTATTACTGTAACCGGTTCATCTCAATTTTCTAGTCTTTTTGTGGCCATTGCCAGAACTGCCTTGAAGGTGTTTCGATTCAAGGTTATGTGATCATCTTTGTCTTGGAAATGTGACTTCCAAGGAATTTCCTAGTGTACATATTTTGTGAAGATGCTACTGAGCCAATTTACTGTTGTACCCTTTTCAGCAGCTAATTCCTAATTTAGCATTTTAGGTGCCATCGCCTCAGCAAGTGTCCATCAGGATTGCTCTACTGATTTCAGATGAGCTCAGGGCCGGATTAAGGGGGGGGTTAGCTGGGCAGCTGCCTAGGGTGCCAACCTATGGAGGGCACCTGATTGAAGTGGTAAGGGGCGACACGCGCCCGGGGGAGGGGCAATGCATGCACCACGCCCGCTGCCTGGGGTGCAAGTGTGGCTTGGTCCGGCACTGGCTGAGCTATGTTAATTTTTCATCAGCTGACCGTGGGTATCCTCAGCAATTTATTAAGAAGGAATGAAGCAGACAACTCATGAAATCACAGGATATGTCTACACCACCGCATATTTTGGCATAAGCTATTCTGGAAGAGATATTCTGGAATATCTTATTTCAAAATAGCGCATTTGTGTGTAGAACCGCTTCAAAATAGTGCTTAGCTATTTTGAAATAGCGTGTCCACATGATTGGACACTGAATCGCGAAGTTTTGGGTGAGGTAGGATGTCCTGGGTGGTGTGGACCACCCTCCACTTGCAGCTGGTCCGGCTGTGGAGAACAAAGAAAGATGGTCAGTCATCCCAGGGGACACAGTGCCTGTAATCCAGACCCCCTGCAAGCCGAGAGCAACAGTTCTTGGCACCGACCCAGCCAATGTGCTTGGAGCCATGCCATATGTGCTATGACCAGAGGCCCCTAATGTACCTGGGACTCAGGGGGCTACCCTGAGACTGTGGCCATGCCCGTGTGCGGGAGTGCTGAGTGTGTGTGGTTGGGGGTGGGAGGACGGGGAATGTCCCCTGCCTCCTTCTACCGGTGTTTAGTGGAGGGAGGATGACCTACCTCAGGGTCAAGAGCATTGCAGGTCTCTCCAGACTGCCTGTGGCCAACAACCCAAGGCTCCTGTGTGTCAATCCGCTGGGGCTACATGCCCAGGAGTGGCACGGCACATGCTCCCACGTGCACAGGTTGCTGAGTGATCTGTGGTCAGCAAGGGACAAGCGTGGAGTGCCTAGCTTCTCCCCAACCCCCTGCATGACGGGAAAGTGATGCAGTCACATGATGTTCCTTTCCCCGGCCTTGAATGGCGCCTGGGAGATGTCTGCAGGGAGGCCTTAGGGCTCCTGGGTCAGCTCAGTGCTCAGGCTGGCCACATCCTGGTCCTGGGCCTCCTTCTCTTCCTCATCGCCATCATCTGGGCCCCTAGCAAAGACAACAACAAGCTTCTCCACCCCAGAGTCTATAACTGAGGGGGGAGGGACTGCCCCACCCCCCAGAATGTGGTCCAGCTCCTTATAATACGGGCAGATGTAGGACTCTGCCCCAGATCGGGAGCTGCCCTCCTTGGCCCTGGCATAAGCCTGGCGGAGCTCATTGACCTTCATCCACACCTGTTCTTGTGTGTGGATGTGGCCTTTGCTCCCCAGACTGTCTGCCATGCACAAAGCCATAGACATCTGTCTTTCTGCATCTGGTGTGGAGATCCTGGAGGTTTGTCTCATCCCCCCAAACCTCAATAAGGTCCAGGACCTCCGCACCAGACCAGAAAGGTGCACATCACTTGCATCTCCTGGCAGGCTCCTGGGATCTGGCTGAATGCTTCCAGGGAGCAGTGGGAGGCTGGCTGGCACCATCAGTCTGGCTCATCTTGGACTTAAATGGAGTCAAGGGCAGCTTCAGAATGGCTCAGGGCTGTCAGGCCCGTTGCAAGCCACAAATCCTGTCTGCAGAGTTTGCAGCTTTAAGGGTTCCGGGGGAGGGGGGAATAGAGTTTTCCTGTGTGTGGACAGAGTGACCAGCAGGGAAGGGCTGGAGGCCCCCTATTTTGAAATAGCCCCTATTCCCTGTCTACACCGTGCCTATTCCAAAATAGCTATTTCTGAATAGGCGCTATCCCTCGTAGAAAGAGGTTTACAGAACTTGAAATAAGCCGTCTGCTATTTTGAAATTATTTTGAAATAGTGGTTTGGCTTTGTAGATGCTCACAAAGTTATTTTGGAATAGCAGTCGTTATTCTGAAATAAAGGCTGTGTCTACACTGGTGCGATCTTGCGCAGAAGGGGCCGTTCTTGAGCAAAAACTTGCTGCCTGTCTACACTGGCCGCGTGTTCTTGCACAAGTAAACCGACATTCTACTGTATGAAATCAGGGCTTCTTGCACCAGAATTCTGACTCTCCCACTCAGGAATAAGCCCTTTTGTGCAAGTGTTCTTGCGCAAGAGGCCAATGTAGACAGGCAACATGAATTTCTTGCTCAAGAAAGCCCTATGGTTAAAATGGCCATCAGAGCTTTCTTGCGCAAGAGAGCGTCTACGCTGGCATGGATGCTCTTGCGGAAAAGCACATGCCAGTGTAGACGTTTTTTTCTGGAAGAGTTTTTGCAAAAGAACTCTTCCACAAAAGAGTTTTTGCATGAGAACGCGCCAGTGTAGATGTAGTCAAAGTATTTGAAAAAGGGAATGCAGTAAGGCACAATGCTTCAGTCTTTACAGAGTATCAGTATTTCAATGCCTCTGTTTACACTATTCATTGTGCAATCTCTGTAGCCAGAGGAGGGGGAAAAAATCCTTTGGATCACTGATTCCAAGTCCCTGCCAGGATAAGGCATGGTCTCCTGGTAAAGAAAGTACTTGATTATGTGACTGTTACCTGAAACCACTGGAAAAATATTGACATGCACCACCAATCAGGATCTTCTCATGGTGGCATGAAACGCTTGTGAAAAGTATCCATTGTTGGGAACACACACTTCATGGTGGTTGACATTTTCAGGGAGAATTTTCCTAAAAGAGTAAGCAAGGAACTTAATGAATTGGCCGGGTTTCACTATTCCTCCCAAAGACTGAGCCAAAGCAAAGTAATCAGGACTCCTAGGCACATCCTGCAGGAGGTTTGCAGTAGCTCCATGCCTCCCCACCTGTGGCTGAGTGAGTGGGCTAAATGTTGGGTTAAAGCTCCTCCTTTTCTTGAAAAAGAACAGGCCTCTAAGTCCAAGAGAGGGTTCATCAGAGCTAGAAATCCCAAGTGGAGATGGCTGACTTCATTTGGTCTGGATTTAGACACTTAACCCCTTTAAGCAGTGGAGCTTACACCACAGCCTGCTTGATGATATTTCCTATTGGTTGGTTTGGCTTCTTCAGTGCCTTACTTTGCCCATGAATAGTACAGGGAGCCTAGGCACCTAACACAGGGCTATGACTTCCACTTGGCAGCAGGATGCCTAAAAGTGAGCTGTTGTAATATGAAGCATGGCAGCATTAAATTCTTTTTGTGATTCTCATCTACATTTTTTAATAGGAGCTGAGATTCTGATCTTATGCTGTGATGCCTTATGCCTTAGGCAGGGATCGGTGGTTAATCCATCCCCACCTAAAGTGTAAAAGAAAAGTGAGTCACCAAATAAAGGAAAGATGTTCCCTATATTAAAAGCAAGCAAATATACTTACAACTAATCCTCCTCCACCTCCTCCTCCTCCCCCACACTTTGACTAATGATTATTCCTGTAACTTTACAACAGCGACAGGTGGGACAAGCTTTACTGGAATGCTTCAGCATTGCAAAGCTGACAAAGCATGCCTGTGAATTGGGTCTAGACTCTGAATGATTTATTTGTAGAACGGAGGCATAGAGTTAACAAGTAAAGAATGGAGGTGGTGTTGCCCATGTAAACAAGAGGCTCAGAGAAAGGGAGAATGAAATCTGCTCAACAGCCTTCGCTAAAAGCTAGTGGCCTTTTAGCTCATATTGCAGAAGCACATGACTTTAGCCCAAAGGTCCCAAGTTTAATCCCTCCTGCCAACAACCAGGGACCGTCTGCTTTACACCTGTAATGAATACTAGGAGTTTCCTCCTTCTTAACCGTTGTTTTTCCTGGATAATGACCTATTTTTCTAATGATAGGGTTTAATTTTTTGTTATTGAGCTTTAGAAAGGGTTTGCATACATGTACCTTACAAAATTTCACCAAGCAACAGTGTTTGTTATATCATCTACCATGGGCTTGATTCCTGTGTTCAATTCATTACAAGGAAACTGTTATATTTAGTATACCATAATTGATTAAAACAATCAGGAAATGATTGCTTAGGCAAACAAAACTCTGTTTTCTCAATTCTTACCTTTCTTGCTTTAGAGAAGGGTTGCGTTACTAGATTTCAAAGCATTAACTATTTCATTCTTGTGAATTCTCTCTCGTTTGCTCATCTTTCTGAATATTTTTTCCCCATCTGTCATTAAGCCCCACTTCAAAACTCAAACCTGAGTGAGTCCAATGATTTTTGCATACACTCATAGGCCTTATAGCCGGATGCTAACATAGGCACACCTAATTAACCCTTGCTCTGCCACCTACATTTAAGGGGAACAGATTGTAACTTGAACACTCTAATTTACTATTTTCCCCCTTCCTTTCGCCATCCTCCCCCATTTATTTTTGGAACTGGACTTTTAATACTCCACTCATCTGAAGAAGTGGGTTGTATCCACGAAAGCGCATGATACTGTCTACATGTTTTATTAGTCTTTGAGGTGCTGCAAGACTATTCATTGGTTTTTTTTAAGTTTTTCCAGTTACAGACTAACTCGGCTACCCCCTCAAGCTTTTGTATATAGTTCATCATTTGTAGTGAAACAAGCTTGGGTGAATACAGACACAAGTGTTCCATAACCCTGAGGTCTCTCTGAGCCTGATTTGAGAGGGTAATCAGTATCAAAGTGTGTATCTGCACAGATAACCAGGAAAAAAGGACATGAAAAGATTGTTTGCTGTTGCTTTCAAGCAGGGGGGAAGGAAGTAGATGAATGCATTATGAGATGCTGATAACACCTACCCAGAACCACCTGCTGTGTAGTTTTGGTCCCATCAGGAACTGGGAGCATAACCCATCATGCAAAGAGGCAGAAGGAACTGTGCAATAGCTATCCAAGTGTGAAACTGTCAAAGTCGACAGTAGCCACACTACTGGGAACACACTGTGTCAAACACTTGGACACAGTGGGAACATGTACCTTTGACTTTACAAAATCAGGTACTAAAAAATCAACCTTAATAAATTTGACCTTATCTCTTAGTGTAGACAAGACCTTAGATATACAGGGACAAAAGGGCAAGTAAGACACCCCTTTGCTCTCCAGCCTGGTTTTTCTGCATCTTTAGTCTATGGATAAGAGACGGAGCAGACTTTTTGGGCTACCATTCACCCTTGAGATACTTTGATGAGGAGAATGTAGCAAATGGTGGGGAAACAAGCAGAGTCTTATTCACACAGCGTATGAAAAGGGAAGTAATAATTTACTCCTTTGGGTCTCTAGCAAATTATAGGATTTTTCTGTCCCAGGTGCAGGAATCGGCACTTGTCCTTGTTAAACCTCATCAGATTTCTTTTGGTCCAATCCTGCAGTTTTTCTAGGTCACTCTGCGCAAAACATCCCCTCATCCAGGTCATTAATAAAGATGTTGAACAAAGCTGGCCCTAGAACGGATCCTTGGGGCACTCCGCTAGAAACCAACTGCCAACCTGACATTGAGCCGTTGATCACTACCCATTGGGCCCAACAGTCTAGCCAGTCTTCTATCCATCTTACAGTCCATTTATCCAATCCATACTCTCTTAACTTGCTGGCAAGAATATCGTAGGAGACTGTATCAAAAGCTTTGCTAAAGTCAAGGTATATATCACATCCACTGATTTTCCCATATCCACAAAGCCAGTTACCTCATCATAGAAGCTAATCAGATTGGTCAGGCATGACTTGCTCTTGGTGAATCCATGTTGACTATTCCTGATGACTTTCTCCTCTCCCAAGTGCTTCAAAATGGATTCCTTGAGGATCCTCTCCATGATTTTTCCAGGGACTGAGGTAAGGCTGACTGGTCTATAGTTCCTTGGATTGTCCTTCCCCTTTTTTAAAGATGGGCACTACATTTTCCTTTTTCCAGTCATCAGGGATCTTTCCTGATCTCCATGAGTTTTCAAAGATAATGGCCAAAGGCTCTTCAATGACATTTGCCAACTCCTTCAGTACTCTCGGATGTATTAAATTCAGACCCATGGATTTGTGTATGTTTAGCTTTTCTAAATAGTTCCTAACCAGTTCTTTCCCCACCAAGGGCTGTCCACCTCCTTCCCACACTGCGTTGCCTAGTGCATTAATCTGGGAGCTGACCTTGTCTGTGAAGACACAGGCAAAGAAAGCATCGAGTACTTCAGCTTTTCCTACATCATCTGTCACTAGGTTACCTCCCTCATCCAGTAAGAGCCCCACACCCTCTCTGATTACCCTCTTATTGCTAAAATGCCTGTAGAAGCCTCTCTTGTTATCCTTCACATCTCTTGCTTGCTGCAATTCCAGTTGCACTTTCGCCTTCCTGATAACTCCCCTGCATTCTCAAGCAATATATTTATACTCCTCCCTAGTCATCTGTCCAAGTTTCCACTTCTTGTAAGCTTCCCTTTTGTGTTTAAGCTCACCAAAGATTTCCCCGGTAAGCCAATCTGGTCGCCTACCATATTTGCTTTTCTTGCTGCACATCGGGATGGTTTCTTCTGGTGCCTTCAATAAGGCTTCTTTAAAATATAGCCAGCTCTCCTGGACTCCTTTCCCCTTCATGTAAGCATCCCAGGGAATCCTGCCCATCAGTTCTCTGAGGGAGTCAGTCTGCTTTTCTGAAGTCCACGGTATGTATTTTGCTACTCTCCTTTCTTCCTTTGGTCAGGATCCTGAAATCCACCAGCTGATGATCACTGCTTCCCATGTTGTCACCCATCTCTACTTCCCCTACTAGTTCCTCACTGTTTGTGAGCAGCAGGTCAAGTTGCTCATGGCCCCTGATCGGTTCCTTCTGCACTTGTACCAAGAAGTTATCCCCAACATTCTCCAAAGACTTCCTGGATTGTCTGTGTACTGCTGTATTGGTCTCCTAACAGATATCAGGGTTATTAAAGTCCCCCATGAGAACCAGGGCCTGTGATCTGGAAGCTTCAGTTGTCTGAAGAAAGCCTTGTCTACCTCATCCACCTGATCCAGCAGTCTATAACAGACATCAACCGCAACATCACCCCTGTTGCTTCCACCTCTAAATTTAACCCATAGACTCTCAACAGGCTTTTCTCCCTCTATATACCGGAGCTCTGAGAAATCATACTGCTCTCTTACATACAATGCAACTCCTCCTTTTCTCCCCCCCTATTCTTCCTGAACAGTTTATAAACTTCCATGACAGTGCTCCAGTCATGCAAGTCATCCCACCAAGTCTCCATTATTCCAATCAAATCATAGTTCTTTAACTGGGCCAGGGCTTCTAATTCTTCCTGTTTGTTTGCCAGGCTTCTCACATTGGTGTACAAACACTGTAGATAACCAGTTGATTGCCCTACCCTCTCCATTTTAGTCAGGTGTCCTCCTTTGTTGCTTGTTCCTCCTTGTGTTTCTTCCCAGTATCCGACTTCCCCACTTACCTCAGGGCTTTGGTCACTGTCCCCCAATGAACCTAATTTAAAGCCCTTCTCAGTAGGCTTGCAAGCCTGCCCGCAAAGATGCTCTTTCCTCTGTTGGTTAGGTGGATCCCATCTCTTCCTAACAATTGTTGTGCCTGGAACAGAGTCATGCGCTCCAGGACGTGGCTTGCTTTCCATCCAGTTCCCCAGGTGCCAAGGGAGTGAGGGGAAAGTGCTGGCATTCAGTTGCTGTGAAGATGTGGGATAGCTATTTCACAATACTCTGGTGTCCCAAAATAGCGTTGCAGAGTAGACATACCCAAAGGGTTTTCATATGGCCATATGTAAATGTTTATATCTTGTAACAAAGAATACAGACCATACTTACAAGATGCAGAACTGTATCCCAAAGGCGCCATTTCAGGAGGGTAGAGGAGGCAGCAGCCATGTGCTCCAGGACATGGTTTGCTTTTCATCCAGTTCCCAAGACTCTAAGGGTATGTCTACACTAGCTCGTTAGTTCTAGCTAAGTAGGCAAATGAGGGCAACCGGAGTTGCAAATGAAGCCCGGGATTTAAATATCCTGGGCTTCATTTGCATGTTACTCGGGGCCGCCATTTTTAAATCCCCCTTAGTCCGAACTCGTGGAATGAGGAGTAATGATAGTTCGAATTAGGATCTTTAATTCGAACTACCTACTCCTTGCCACGTGTAGCCACGGGCACGGAGTTCGGACTAAGGAGGATTTAAAAAAGGCAGTGACCGGGAACATGCAAATGAAGCCCAGGATATTTAAATCCCGGGCTTCATTTGCAACTCCGGTTGCCCTCATTTGCCTACTTAGCTAGAACTAACGAGCTAGTGTAGACATACCCTTAGAGTCTTGGGAACTGGATGAAAAGCAAACCATGTCCTGGAGCACATGGCTGCTGCCTCCTCTACCCTCCTGAAATGGCGCCTTTGGGATACAGTTCTGCATCTTGTAAGTATGGTCTGTATTCTTTGTTACAAGATATAAACATTTACATATGGCCATATGAAAACCCTTTGGGTATGTCTACTCTGCAACGCTATTTTGGGACACCAGAGTATTGTGAAATAGCTATCCCACATCTTCACAGCAAGCCCATTATTTCGGGCTTGCTATTCCAACGTCCCTGTAAACCTCATTCTACAAGGAGTAAGTGATGTTTCAGAATAGCACTTTATTTTGAAATTTGGTGCTGTGTAGACAGCACCAAATGACGAAATAAGTTATTTCAAAATAGCATTGAAATAAGATTAGTAATTTGTGTAGCTCAAATTGCGTATCTTATTTCAAGTTACGGTGCAGTGTAGACGCACCCATACTGTTTGTGGATGCCAAGTTTAGATCACTCTGTATCAGTGACCTGTTCCTTTCATTATTTATCAGTCCTTCACTTTTTGTGTCATCTGCAAATTTTAACAGTGTTGACTTTGTTTTCTTCCAGGTCATTGATAAAAATGTTGAAGAGTAAAGGCCAAAACCCAAACCCTGAAGGACTCCACTAAAAACACACCCTCTCAAAGATTATTCCCCGTTTAGAGTTACCTTTGCAGACCTATCAGTTGGCCATCTTTTAATCAATTTGCTGTGTGTCTTGCTAATTTCATGTTCTTCCAGTATTTTTAATCAAAATGTCATGCTTTGTCAAATCAAATGCCTTACAGATGTCTGAGTGCATTACATCAACACTATTACCTTTATCAATAAAACAGGTAATCTCATCAAAGAAGATATCAAATTAGTTTGACAGGAGCTATTTTCCATCAAACCACATTGATTGGCATTAATTATATTATCCTCCTTTAATTCTTTATTAATCAAGTCATGTATCTGTTGATCCATTATCTTGCCAGGGATCAATGTCAGATTGACAGACCTATAATTACCCAGCTCAAGTTGCTCCCTGCTCCCAAGGATAGCTGAGCTACACCTGCATGTGTATCCCAGGATCCTTCCCCCCCACAAGGAAGAATTCAGGCCCTCCTGGGTGCCCTGCTATGCCAACTCAGCTGTTCCTGGAATTTTCTGGAGAAACAACTGTCAAGGGGAGGGAGAGCAGAAGGTTTGTGGTTACTGTCCTGGACCAGCATTTAGGTGATAGGGGGTTCAATGCACATCTGGGACCCATACCTCCTGTGTGACCTTGGAACTCATTTAGCACCTGAGTGTTTTATTTTATTTTATATTGTCTACTTAGTTTGAAAGCTGGTCTGGTTAGGGCTTCCCTCTCATTATGCGTATGTACAGCACCATATAGGATAAGCCCTCAATAGGAGCTGGGGCTTCAAAGGGTATGTCTGTACTGCAGTTAGACACCCACAGCTGGCCTATGCCAGCTGGCTCAGGCTCATGGGACTCCTGTTGCGTGGTTGTTTAACCATGGTGGAGTTGTTCTGGTGCAGGCTGCAAGCCAAGCTCTGGGACCCTCTTGCTCTCTGAGGCATAGAGGCCAGGCACCAGACTGAGAACAAATGTAATTACCTGTAACTAACCCCTTGGCCCAAGCCCTAGAATCAGCTGCCACTGGCCAGCCATGGGTTTTTAAGTGCAGCGGGGACATACCCTTAGTACTACTGCACTGCAAATAATAATTACTAATAATTATCACCACTGTACAAATTGTAGAATTATCTCTATTCAAAGGCTTCTGGGTGGTCTTTTGCAAAGACCATAAAAACAGTGATAATACCCAAGAAAAGCTGAATTTATTTGCTTTTGTTGCTTTGGTTTTGGTTGTAAAATATTTGATTAAGCAAAGTTCCAATAAAATGTTAACATGCTTCATCATACATTGTTTGTTCAGGATATGGTTAGTATTTAAGGCACTTGGCAAAAGGTGTGTTTTTTAAAGTCTACACATTCATACTGTTAATGATTTGGGACTTCAAGAAGTGTTTACTATAAAAAAAAACAACAAGGAGTCCCATGGCATCTTAAAGGCTAATAAATGTATTAGGGTATCAGCATTCGTGGGCTGCAGCTCACTTTGATGGATGCTGTAGCCCACAAAAGCTTATGACCTAAGACAGTGCTTGATCCTGTCGTGAGGGCAGGGGACTGGACTCAATAACCTCCAGAGGTCCCTTCCAGTTCCAGTGTTCTATGATGCTATGAAATGTGCAAGTCTTTACGGTGCCACAGGAATCCTTATAGTTTTTGCTCAAACAAACTAACAAGATTGCTTCTCTGAAACAGCGTTTACTATTCATTTCTAAAGTGTGGACATTAACATTCCCAAGAGTGGCAGAGTTAGCTCTGGAGTCTTGGCCAAATTCTAGTTTGGGTAATTCCACTCTGTCTACTTACATTTGCCCTGTACTTTCAGCTGCTGCAGTTAAGAAGCCGCTGAAAGTTCAGCTGATGGCTCAGCAGGGCTAAGGCAAGCTTCCTACCTGCCCTGGCTCTGTGTGACTGGTACATCTGAAGTGACTGGCACATCTCTCTAGCACCTAGAAGCAGGGGTAGCCAGCGAATCTCTGCATCCTGCCACAAGTTCCAATTCTGCAGCTCCCATTGGCTGGGAACCGTGGGAATTGGAGGAGTGGTGGGGAGAGCCACCTGGCTGTGCTTTCACATAGGGGCCAGAGAAACAAGCTGTTTATTTTGGGGAACTGCTTGAGGTAAGAGCCACCTGACAAGAGCCTGCACCATTCACCCTTTCCCTCACCCCAGTGCTTTGTGCCAGCCTTGAGCCCTCTTCCTGCACTCAAACTCTCTCTCAAAGCCTACACCCTTATCCTTTCTCCAAGCTCATCCCAGCGAGTCTTCTCACACTCTGAAGCTCTCAACCTGCACCCCAGAGACCCCCCTCCCTGTGAGTCCAAGTCATTTTATCCAGGCTCTGAGACTCACTACTGTGAGATGTTGGTTTTTTTTTTAAAGGTGTAAACACACCCTTGATGGTTACATAATAATAGGGTCAAAAGGGCTGCTTGTGCACAAATTTGTACCAGTTTAGTTAAATTGGTGTAAACCCCTGTGTGAGTACTTTCTTTTATGTTTACGAGTGGCTTATTTTGGTTAGGCGTAAACCTATTCCTAACTGATTTAAGCTAAACCAAAATAAGCCTTATTAAAATCAAAATAAGAGTTCCTGCTTAGAGACTTCTGTATCCATTTAACTGAAGAGTTTTAAAACGTCACCTTTAGGCTATGTCTTCATTATGGAACATGATGTGCTTTTACCTCAAGCTACATAATTCAATTCCCATCTCAACGTAAAGTCCTTGTGAGGACAAAACACAGGTAGTTTTTACCTCAATGTAACTAATTGAAGTCTTTGAGGCTTTACCTCAACCAGTACATTGAAGCTAATACCTGGGCTCTGACACTACTAGAATTTGACACTGAGATATCTATCTTGAGTTAGGAATCTTGGTGTATAAACATACCTTCTATAGCCAGGAAGGCATCTCCTTAGTTACGCCACTGCAACTCTGCATGAAGGGAAGGCCCAACTTTATGTCCTTTCAGTGACCACAATATCACCATCAGAAATGAATCTATTGTTCTCCTCCCCAATATCCCACTCTTGCAGAAAAGTTCCTCTGCAAAAGCAATACCATCAGTCAGAACTGTTAATTGATTCACTCCTCGTCATTTTCATGAGATAGATGCACTTCTTCAGTCTTTATCCCATTATCCTCAATGAGGTGTCAAATTAGACAAAAAAGCTAGAGCAATTTAAAGGCTAATTTTCAAAAATATGGGTAATATCCTCTGCCTTGGGCCTCTTGTATTTAAAAAATGAAGTTAAATAAATACAAAAACCAGTTTGCACAGTTAAAAACAAATGGGAAATGAATAATTTTTTCAGAAACATTGACTTAGGGTCAATATATCCTGCATAATTAATTTTGTGATATAGATTTTTAAACAGAAGCATCTTAATCTGCTACATATTTAAAAAAAATCAGAAATAGAAAATACTACATATTTGCAAAATAAATAAGCTAGTATTAGTAGAAAAGGTAACTTTTGCCATTTTCAACTGTTAAAATATACATTTTAAATGCATCACCTTAAAGGTAAATTAACATATGCATTGGCAGCTAAAGCATATAGTTTGTTACACAAAAAACCTCAGAATTCAATATGAAGAAAGGCACTATTATAAATGCAATATATTATTAGCATTGTTAATATGTGAACAAGAACCTTTTTAAATGAGAATTAACTGTTCAATCAATATTGTTTTAACAACATTCAATATCTACGTACAATATTAATGGGATTGAAGCTAATCCATAACATTGCTGAAGTCCAGCTGAATTTCATTTATAAAGCATTAACAGCAGGAAAAGAGAAGTAATTTTTAAAGTGTAGAATGTTTGTATTTTGCTCAATTTGACAAATCACATTCCTATATAAAGTTATTTTTGTATCACAGAAGTCATCCAATTTCAGGGTACAGCTACACTGTGAGGTTTTTCTAGGCTACTGAAAAACTCTGCTGTGTCCAGGGAGCTTGTTTGTTCTTTCCCTTTTTTTTTTTTTTTTTTTTTTGCGGAAGAGCAAATGTACCCTTTTGGGGAGCCCGGTATACCTAGTTCTATGAGGAATAAGGGATCCTCTGAAAGAGGAGCTTTTCCCGCCATTTGGCTCCATCTAAACGGGGGCAAATGGCAGAAAAGCCTCTTCCAGAAAAGCAATCGGAAAAAGCTACGCAAATTGGGGAGTGCAATTTGCATAGCTTTTTCAAAAAAAACCCCGAAAGTGTAATTCAGTTTTTCTTAAATGGTGTTCCGTGGCACACCAGTGTGCCGTGAGGCAGTTGGAGGTATGCCGTGGAGAACGGTAGAGTTCAAAATGGCCACCCTTAAAGGGACAGGCGACTTTTTTCCCCCTTGATAACTTCCCCCCTGACCTTTTTTTTTTCCTCAACAAAAAGTCCTTGCTGTTCCTCATAAAAAAAAATTAGTTTGGTTTTCCTCGGTGATAAAAAGTTTAAGAAACACTGGTGTAGATGTAGCCTCAGAGTTACATACCATTTTGAATGCTTGTAGAGCACCATTTTTCTGACAAAATATGATCCAAAATGTTTGTGAAATATATAGTAATAAATATTTGTTCTATGCCATGATGGCATGATAGTCTATGGTCCTCTAAGGAACTTCTACAATTTAGAAACCCAAAGGCTGGGAAAAAAAATCCTGAATCTACCACACGTGGTAATTTTTTTCAATTTGCTGCAGGTAAAAGAAAGCAAAATGTTCAATTTCCAGGTTTTACTGAATGCTTGCAGTGCCATAAAGTCACATTCTGATCAGCAATATGGAGTGAAAAATGTGTGATACCCAATGGCTAAATCAATAATGAAAACTCCTTAGTTTATTAGTATTGCCATCTTTATGACACTTTTCCATTAAAAAAGAGAAGTTATTCTCTGTCCGCCAATCCCACCTGGAGTGCTCTATCTTTAAAAGTCATGGTGGGTTGGTCTTAAACAAATACTGCCAGTGGATTTATAGCAAGTTTTCCTTTGAGTCATGTTCACTTTGTTGTATCTAATGCCAAAAGTATTAAGGAAATTCTAGCAATAAAATTCCTTTCTCTCTTTCACTGCCAAGTGATTTGTAATTATAACTGATAACTAGGGCTTCTGTTTTGTTCATAATTTTTTTAAGGATAAGTTGGTCATAACAAAAAGGGTAAAATCACTCAAATGTTTTCAAAATGTCAAAGGCATTGCTTTGAACTCAAATAACCTTTAACATCTCATTTTTCTGCAAATAGCTAGGACTGTGTTTGTGCTGTGATGACTGAGTTTAATACGATAACTGACATATGAGAAACAAATTCTAGAAACCATCTTTTAGGTCCCAATTCAAGACAGAACGTAAGCCTCTATTTAAGTCCAGAGCTGTTCAGGAAATCACTTAAGCAATTGCTTAACTTTAAGCATACTTTTCCTTTCATCTGTAATTTCTCCATGGGTGCTTTTCACACATAAACAAAATAAGGGGAGGGGAAGTTATTTTAAAAAATGTGCAGCTTTAGATTGTGTTCATTGTGGTTGCCGTTGCTTGCCTTACGCATCATTTTGAGTTACTCTATACATAGAGAAAGAAAAGTTCCACTTACACATATTCTGCTCTCTGACTGAAACCACAGCGCACCTCCCTGCACTAAAAAGTTTACAATGTCCTTGAATCAACTCCTGGGCTAAAACAAAACAAGCTTCAGAATGTTCAGCTTCTGGATTCTAATTTACATGTTAGACCCATCTCTATTTCTTCCCCTGAACGAGAGACAGTAAAATCTGCTGGCTCCTTTTTCATATCTATGTACAGTGAGTTTGAGATGCATCTGCAGAAGCACCACATGACTTCACATTCCAGAGAAATCTGTGACCATTCCAGGGAAATCTGTGATACGCACTAAGCAGCACGAGAAACATCATAGTCCCGGAGTCCATACCACTTCTGTAGCTGGAAGGGTTAACGGGAAGTAAAATGGCTAGCGACAATTTGTAAAGATTCAGAGATGTTGCAACCAGACCGGTAAGAAAAGAGATCTGTTACAACATGGTGCGTTATTTGTGGTTTAATGGTTTGTACACCAAGGGGAAGGTCAAAACTTTTCCTTTTCCTGTAGGTGCTTGACGTTGGCCCATTATCTGTTCAAGCTGATCTCACCATCAGCAAAATGGCTTAATAATTTCCTGCTATCATTTTAAGAAATCAAAGACCTTGAAAGATAATGTATTTATTCTTCCTTCCAACATACCAGGCATAGAATATGGCATGTACTGTGCTGCAGGGGGCTAAACTCTGTGGATATAAGTTTAACACCTGTAACAAATTGCTCTGTTTGAATCCCTACTGTGATCTGCATCTTCAGTTAATTAGACAGGTGTAGGGTGACCAGATATCCTGTTTTTAAAGGGATAGGCCCATATCAAAGCCCTCCTGCAGATGTCTGGATTTTTTCTCTAAAAATGTGCAAATTGTCCCGTATTTTCTGTCTCCTCACCATCTGAACCCTAAGCAGGGATGGGGAATCTATGGCCCCCAGGTAAGTACCCCAAACTCCCTGCTCCTTCCCATGCCGTCCTCCCTCCCAGACTACACTTCCAGTCTGCTCCTGCCCCCTCCCTCCTTCCCAGACCCTGAGCCCCCATCCCCAACCTGCTCCCACATCTTACCTCCCACCCAGAACCTGCACCCCCCACCTCAGCCCACTCTTGCACCCCACCTCCCTCCCAGATCCCACATTTCCAGCCTGCTCCTGTGCCCTAACTCCTGCTCAGACACCCCCCCTTCCCCCGACCACTCCTGCTCCCTACACTCCCACCCTCAGGCCACTCTTACACCCTGACTTCCACCCACTCTTAAAACCTTTCTCCCTGCACTCTACCTCTCACTCACTCTACCGCTCACTCAGAGCCTAACTCCCCAGCTCCAGCCAATTCCCCAGCAGCTCCCTCCTGCACACTGACCCCCTGCATATTTGTCCCTACCCTGGAGCCTAGAGGGGAGGTCCCACAACATCTACTGGCATTGGGCCCCCCAGAAGAGTTAATCCAGCCCTGGGGAAGGGGAGCGCTGAACCTCAGCACTCCCTCCCTATGAGGGGAACCCTAGAACCTGTGTTGTGAGAGTGAGGTAAGTGTCTCTTTTTTCCCCTTACTTCTATGTTGGAGGCCATGTCAGTGAGGATGTTTTTCCTTCTCACTTTGGAGGTCAGGTCAATGAGAGCTTTGGGGGGTTTTGTTTCTTTGCTTCTTACTTGTGTGTGGCCCTTGACTGATTTTCCTGTGAGTCAGTGGCCCCCAATCCAAAAAAGGTTCCTCACCCCCTTAAAGATAAGACTGTAAATAAAACAAATCCTTCTAACCAGTATTTCATGGTGTTAATTGGAATGTTTGTACAGTTGATTGCCATTCAACTGGCTTGAGCATAAATAACTTTTCTAGGTGTCATCTATTCTTCATAGGGAAATATGGTCACTCTAGACAGGCCAGCCTTACATAGTTCACTGAAAATGACAGTTTGCTTTAACAATATCTAAAATCAGAATGGGCACCAATTATGGAAAGGCTTGAGAAGTTGCATAGATCTGTCCTGAGAGAGAAATTCACCAACATCAATTCTATGAGCTAGCAGAAATACCCGCCAGCAGCCAACATAGAACAAAATCATATTCACATTCTGGTTGATCAATAGCTTTTGTTTTTCTTCTCCTTTCCCACAGTTCTCTGTGATCATTAAGCTGTCCTTGCATTCTTACTACATGCTCTGCACAGTTCAGTTCCATGTAAATATGGGTTTAATCTCTGTCCATGAACAAATACAAGCCTATATACATGCTACCTTTTGCTTGACCTGTCTTGCACAAATGAAAGTTTCCACAAGATCAGGGCCAGCCACACATCTTATGACACTCTAAATTTGTTGGGGCCCCACGCCATATCCCTGTACCACTGGGTTCTCTCTTCCCATGACATAGGCCAGGAATATGTGGAGCTGAAGCATGACTTTACCATATGGGGAGCATGGGAGGGCAGTTAGGAAATTTAGTCTCTGTGATAACCCAGCAGTGAGAT